AACAGCTCAAGAGTTTACTCTTCTGATTACTGTAAGAATTAAAATTCTAGGGAGAAAAAAAGTATTATTTTGACTGATGTACCAAAAATTACCAAGTATCAAAAATTGTCATTATTCTACTTACAATGACTAATTCTACTCAGCTATGATGAATATCCAAACCCACCCAAACAATTAAGGTGCACACACTGTAGCATACTACAAAATACTCAGTTTTTAAGCAGGCACTCATGGTCTGGAAAGCAAGAAAATAACAAAGCCACATGATTTCTCAGCACTGCTGAAGTGAAATCATGGTCATTTGGTACTGGACTCATTTGATCCAATGATGATCAGCCTTTACACTGTAGCTGGTTTTAGTTTTCATTGGTAGTCAGTGGAGAGCAGAATACACTTTAAAATACAACTGAATTAATTTGTCCTGAAAAGGTATTTCTCTTACTTGGTCACAAAACAGGCCTCAGGTGACCACTTCAGGTTTGTCAATGTCTAGAGTTCAATGAAATGCATTCAGTTCTTCAGAGGTACCTGTTTAGGAGCTCCCTGAAGTGAGCTTTCTTGAAAGTCTGTCCTCAAAACAACAGTTTGCAGCTTCATTCTCACCATCAATATAGTTACTTGACAAAGCATTACATGTTTAAGATTGACTTGTAATCAAAAGAGTTCTCTGGAAATATATCCTGAAACACTGGCAATATTTGAACCCTGAGCATCTACTTCTTAATTCTCAGAGTCTTAAAATATTTTACCATTCCGTTTGAAAGCAGTTAAGGGTTCTGGACATTCCCAATCTGACCAGGAAATTGCAGAAGAAGTCATCCATTGCTTCAGGAATTTCAGAGACTGATTTCTCAGAGGTCAGTACTGATTGCAAAGCCTGAAATTGAAATTTGGTAATTGTTATTAAACAAAAAAGAAAAATTTTATTATAGTATCTTCTATTTCTAAAGTCATCTAAAGTCACAAATCTGTTGGAGTACAGCTGAGTGCTTCCCTTGCCTTTACTGATCAGATCTGTAATTACTGTTCCTTCTAATGTCAAGGTCTGTAAAAGGTTATAGAGAAATAACTCAAAAATCACCCAATTTAAGCAACTACACTGAACCTGCCATAATCTGATATGGACCTGAACTATTTAAACTGATGGATGATCCTGTGTCACTGGCCAGAGAAAAAAATGTTAAATCTCTCACTCCTGCGCCCTTCAGCAACCTTCAAAACTACTGATGAGAAAAGCCAGCACTTCATTTAATGAAAAAAGCCAAACTCCAAGGTGATGGTAAAATAGCTTATATTCTTTTTGTAACAATGTAAGCAATGGAGACTGAAAGAATTGCATCTCCACCATTAGATCTCTTAGGAAGTCACACAAAGATCAATACTCCCTTTTCTTCCCAACACCCTTGTGCAGGCACTGAAGCTGCCAGACAACATTGCTACAAGTGTTAGCAGCATGCAGATGGTGCACTGAGGCTTCATATGCAGCTCATCCAGTGCCATCAAGATAGACAGCTATTCAGATAAGTTCAGCTCATGGGTCAAGCACAGTTGCCAAAAGCAAAAGCAAAACAAAACAGAAATTCTACTACAGAGGGAGGGGGGAGCAGAAATAATAGTAATAAAAAAAGAGCTTTCACAGCTTTCTGTTGCAATGCAAATTTCTCTCCTTCACTCAACCCCATTCAGCCCACTCAGTGTACAGCTTGATATTAACCTCTCCTAGAGAGATTTCAAGATGCAAGGAAGTATGAAGAAAGTAAAATATGACCCAGACTGAGACTAGTCCCCCCACACACCCCAAATGCATTTAAATATAACCAGATGAGAGACTGCCACAACTTGGCAGCCAAAGGTTTGCTTAATTCATTCAGGCTGCAAATGGATTATAGTAATTTGACATACCTAAATATCAGGGTCTCAGCATCTGGTAACTTCACATTGGCACAATGCTACAACAGACTTGCTCAACAGTGCAGGCTATTATCTAAGATAAGCTATTACACTGCACATGCCTGCTTCCTGGTGAGAGGGTGACAGAACCATCTGGGGTTTGACAACTATCATTTAGTGCACTCTTGAAACTCAGATTCTATGATAACATATTCTACATATTATTAAAAAAAGATACCGCTGTAGAGATAACAAGCAGAAACAGCTTCCACACATGCCTACCACCTTTTCAATACTAACAAAACTGAAAAAAAGTTCAGTGAGATAGTCATCAAGACATGCTAAAGGCTGTGACTATGAATTATTTCCTCCAACCATTTTTAAAAGAATCTGTAGGCCAGGGATTTTTGATAACTCCATTCATTTATGTCTTATTCATGTCCTTATAGTGGGAGCCCTATCAACATGACGGCATAAATTACCTGAACATAAAGGCATTTCTCTGGATAAAACCAAACCACTGGAAAAATTTCATAGCCATTTTGCATAATACAGAATATGTTTGTTTAATCCAAGCAACCTACCTACTATAAACAGGAAGAACTGTAATGTAGAATCAAGGCCATGTAGCACTGTATTACAAATAATATGCCAAGTGCAATGTAGAATTTAGAGTATTTTCATTACTACAGATAAAGTGTAACAGACAAGTCTATTTTCTAATTGTGGTACAACAAGAACCAAAAAGAGTACATCTGCAGACATGCAGCTGCATCCCTTTTCTTGCTTCTTTTCTTTCTTTATTCTAAGTGAGGCAAATGTCTAATATTGTTGCTCATAGTTTCCTGAACGCATCTATAAAGCCAGTCTTTGGAAAAAAATGACACCATTTGATTCCCTTAATAAATGGAATTATGATAGAAATTCATTTCATCTGTGCAGAAGAGAATTTATTGGCTAGATGCTAGTACTGACAATCATTTCAGGAACCAAAGCTCAAGCTGGGAATGATACAGGGAAAAACACAGTCTAACAGACCCAGCATTGGAACAGGGCCTCAGGAAGCCATAACTAAATTCCTAGCCCTTCCACAGACTTTGTGAGGGATATTAGGCTAACCACTTGCTTTAATTGTAACCTCAGATGACTACCCATAGAATAGCACAACAGTATTTTTTTATATATATTTACGTATATATACGTGAGGGATATTAGGCTAACCACTTGCTTTAATTGTAACCTCAGATGACTACCCATAGAATAGCACAACAGTATTTTTTTATATATATTTACGTATATATACGTGAGGGATATTAGGCTAACCACTTGCTTTAATTGTAACCTCAGATGACTACCCATAGAATAGCACAATAGTATTTTTTTTATATATATTTACATATAAACACAATTTAATTGGAAACAAAGCATGTTCTTGCAAAACTTCTTAAACTAAAAAGAATGTAAGAAGGGCATTCATGGATTTTTAACACACTCAAATTAAGAAGATCAAACCTGCATTAAATACAAAGTTAATGAAGGACAATGTAACTTCACATTATTGTTTGGGATACTAATTAAATAAAGATCCTGCAATGGAAGCAGAACAGCTGTAACTACTGGAGAAAATATTTCAGCCAGCTTTCTTTCACATGTGGTTTTCCAGATTCTGTATCCTTTTCCTAGGGTCGCTATCAGCTGATGATTTTCTTTCACAGGCAAAATATTCTGCTGCTTGTGTTTAAAATTTGTATTACTTTGCAATGTCTCAAAAAAACAAACAACCCAGGAAAAAAAATAAAATGAGTTGTGACTAAGAAGGACAAATGATGACTAGAACAGGAACAGCATGCAGAATCACTGCTATCCAAAGCATGTGTTGCCCAGCACAGCTGCTATTCCATCACCAGACTAGGGGGAAATGGTATTTAGAGATTAGAGCTCTACCACCCTCATTTCCCTGTTGGGATCCAAAGAAAAATACGAACTGCAACTGTTGAGGGAGCCTCGAACTCCTTTACGACCAGTAGTTCCACTGCATGTATGCACAGATCAAGAAAACATGCCTAAATATCCCTTTTAAAACATAGCTTTGACTCCTACACACCAATTCATTTTTTTAAAGGTGAATAGCACCACCTCTCCTTTGTTTATATCTGCTGCCCTTCATTTAGTAATTAGGGCTAATTACTTCAGAAGAAAGTCTGAAAATAAGCTTTTTTTCTTAGATTTTCCTGGTTATACTTGACCTTTTCACAGAGTGTAAAAGAAACTAATCACTCAGTTTAGAAACTGTGGATATTTATATTATCTGTATTTGGAAAATCAGTTAAATATTTTTGCATTAATCACTTTCTGTGCCTTCTTTATATAATTTCCTTAAAGATTTGCATCTGGTATTTAAATGAAATCTTTAATATAGTGTCAGGTATACAAGTTACTATGAACTGCAAAAATCACTTAAAACTGTTTATCACAGCTTAGCTACTCCAAGATATAGTTATTACCTCATTCAACCCATTTCAGCCATGATTAGAAGGTAATACTCGAAAAAGTGTACCAATTATATATTGTGTGAAGAAGACAGCCATCTACTGTGCCTCTTAGCTCAGAGTTGGATGTTGAGTCAGTATTAATTCACAGGAAACAGTGCTTCTAACTTGGGTTACCAAAAGCGTTTGCTGCAGCACTCGGTTTTTTCAGTGAGTTACCATCAAGCAATCTAGCCACCAAGCCTCACAAAATACACAGTACGTTAAGAAAGCTGTCAAAGAACTACCTAGTGTATTAAAACATTTTTCTATTCATGTCTTTCCATCTAAAGGCTGAAAATAATATCTCAGTTTCAAAACTACAGAAGTGAGCTCTCCTCCTGAAAAAAAATGAGTCAAGAAGCCAGACATCTATTAGCATAAGCACAGGTCAAAGAGTTTAAGCATGCTTGTTTTTCTTTTGTTTTAAGGAAAGGTAACACTTTCTTCAGGTTGATAAATATTGTTTCCTCAACAAATACGGAGGTAAAATATTATTTAAATATAGCACTGTCAAAAGATCAATAGATCAAAATATTTTTTCCTTGTCTTGCTTTTTATTTGCATGACAACTCACACATAACTCCAGTTACCCTAAATAACCTAAGAATTGCCACTACTTGGTTAACATTAAGTCTTGAAAATTTCTGCTCTCTTTCCTTTAGTTTTCAGGTATATTCAGTTACAAAACATTAGACTTCAGTATTGTCAGTTTTCATTCAAAGTTTCATCTAGAATACAAAACTGATCTGTTGATACGTATTACTGCAAAAGAAAATGCACATCTTCCCCCCATTTTGATGTTAAGAATCATTCACCTTATTTTCTCTTTGCATTACTAAAAATTTGCTTTTGCAAAACAAAGATTATGACAATACCTTACTGATGAGGCTCTAAGATAGTGGTGATATTAGAAACAGCAGGGAAAACCACTTTTCCATTACATTGTTATAAGCACGTAACTCCAGGTAAAACATTTCTGAAAATGCAATTTAACAATCCCACTGTGTAAGTTTGAACTATTACATGACTGTTCTGAAATCAAAATGTAAGAAGTGTCAAAAATGAATGATGTGAAGCGATTGATCATTTCATTAAAGCTTTGATTTAACATTGTATAACTGCCCATTCTTTAGTTTCAATATATGAATAATTTTTCTAGCAAAGTACTCAAATGTACAAGCTTCTGTGACTCTTAGGCATAGATTCTTTCCTGTGTCAGGGATCATAATCCCATTCAATATACTCAGAAGAAGAAAAAAACATAAAATATTGATACATTGTCATACCATTTATATATTTTAAAGAATGTATCTATCTATTTGTTACATGTACTTGCAATACCAGGTTCCTTATGGAACATGAAATGAACTGAAGTTCAAGGATGATGAAACCCAGGAAACATAAGTTGCCTTTTCCACTGTGGCATATATTTACCCCTAGAAACTTCTAACAGGTAAGGAGACAATCTTTTCCTCACAAATATTTCGAATTAAATTATGATGTGTAAATTTTAAGCCACCAATGCCCACATAATTACAGACAGAGTCTTAAAATGTTTAGGTAGTTCTTACTAAAATTTGGGCATCTTCAGCCTGCTCTTGAATAGTCTGCAATGCCTTTGCCAGATCCTCATCATCTTCTTGAAGACCAAATTCATCTTCTGGTGGAACCTAAATGAAATTATTCGAAGTTAAGTATCAACATATTTTATATCTCTTTATTCCAGAATACAAGCATTTCCACTTCCAGTACGACTACTGAAAATCATCTCATTCTTGTTAAAATTTGCCACATTTAAATACAACTTATATTACTGAAATATTCATTATAAGCAGACTGAGATGTAAATAGGAATACCTGTATCTTTAAGAAAGTATTTAATGTTCAGATGTTCAAAGTAAAACATAAATCAACTGACAATAAATCTTCTCCCGAAAAAAAAAGATACGCCTGGCATCACCACAGTTTATAAAAGATTTGTGTCATCTCCCAGGATGTTTTTATGACTGATGAAGTACAACAAAAGAATGAAACATGAATAGTCTACCATATATATCAGAAGATTATCAATTTAGTAAATTACCTCTTCATACTGGTGATCATCCTTAGAGTCATCTGTTATGGTAAATTCTGCAGCTCTTGTTAAGTCTGAAACAGCTGATGCATGTGGTGAGTTCCAACTTTAAACAAGAACTATCACAAAGCAAACATCTATAAATCTGTTACTACCACTTTTGCTCTTGTTCTTTCTGACACAAGACTTTACACTTCCAGGCTTCTTTCAGTCTTTAGGTGAACAACCTCCAGAGAAAACAATGTGTACAGAGAATTCTCTCAGAGAATAGCATTTTTTTAATCAAATTCAGATGTCCAAGTTCAAACATGAACATCTGAGATCAAGCACTGAATACTAAAGGACCATTTACTGCAGCTGATACAAATGCCTTAATTACAGGACAGCTACAATAAGAAAGATAAGGAACTTTCAAAACGTAAAAATTCATTTGGCAATTATCTACAGTTCCTCCAAATGCTTTACAATCAAATTTTTCATTCCAAGTAACTACAAAATTAAAAACCAAATGTTTTTTTCATCTACTAGCCTCACAGCCCATTAAAGTATAACTAAAATGTTTTTAGCAAGATGCTCTGTTGAGTTTCCTAAGGAAATCAGTTAGCCTATAAATGACCCATGTAAATAAACCAGAATTAACTTCCAACAAAAAGAAAAACCAGCAATTCAGTACTTCACACACAGAGAATTAAAGGTACCTGATTTTCCAGCTTTGCATTAGGTTTTCCAAAACTGAATTATTCTCCTGAACACCAGGCCTTCTGCTACAGCTCTCGCAGTACAATACATATGTAAAAGTATCATCTCCATTTAAGACCCTAGCATCACCAAAACTATCAGTTAAATTGTAACCACCTGGAAGGCTAGCAGCTGAAGATTATGTCCATTTGGTTTTTAGAGATGTTTTTTAGGGTTTGAGATAAAAGATGGAGAGATGCCATTTTCTCTTGTAAACAAGGAGGGAAAAAAAAGCCAACACTAACAGGGAAGTCATTAAGTGACTAAAGGCATAATTTTCAGTAATCAAGTCAAAGCACATCTGTGTACCTCCAACTGCAGAGAAACACTACACACTTACTGTAAAAACTGCACACAGAAATAGGAAACTGCCACGAACACTTAAGCATCTCCTGTTTAGGCTTAGAACAAGAAAGTAGATGCCTGTAATACATGTCCTCCCCTAAATTTACTTCCCAACTTACTGCATCACAGATTGCAGATGTGCAAGCCAGGCCTTGAATTCAAGTCGCCACCTCTCTGTGTCTCAAATTGCACTCTCTACAAAAGCTCCATTTTCTAGCTTGACTGATTCTTAGAACGCTTAATTCTAAAACCTGAACTATGCAGAAACTGCTTTCTTCCATAAGGAAGGGGGGAAAAAGGAAGGAATCCCCAAACTATTAGGCCTAAATCTCTTTTCTGTTGCACCAGAAGAAATCTGGATTAACTCTTCTGACTTTAAAGAGAGGGCAAAGAAGTGGTACAGTTCAACAAATGCATCTTCTCTCAGCATGGACCACATGTGGATCCACCAAGGGAAACAAAGAGAACCAAGATGAAAATAGCTCATGTTGAGATACGACTTTCAAGAGCTGACGCAGGGACCCAAGCACTGGGCCAGCTTTCAATTGTCTGCCTGCCAACAGGCACATTTTGATCCTCACATCAGTGTCTGGCCACATCCTAATAGAAGAGCTCCTGATTCCTAGTCTTTGTTCCTTCAACTCAGACAGAGAAAAGTTCATCAACACAAAAAAAAGGAAACAGCAGCAAGGCACAAGCGCAGAGCAGGAGGAATAGGTTACCTTTATCGTTTGAAAAAGCAAGAAGAATGCTTGCAGCAGGCAAGTCACAATCAAAGACAGTTAATACTGACTAGTTAGGGTAATATTCTAAAAAGCCCCCTTTTTTAAATTAGATCAAGATATCCTAGCACTAGCTAGCTGACTACTAATTTCTGTTTCAAGAATGAGACTTCTAAAAGTGTGGCAATGTTTGCAGAGCATGAGTATTTGAGTACAACATTTTTTCTATGAAGCAGGGGACAATTTCCACACATACGTAGTAATTCTATGCATGAACTAAGTATCTGCGTACTCCTCTGTAACCTTTAAGCCTCTTCATTACTTTTCAGCACAGTATTCGTAAACTTTAAAATACTGCACCCAACAATTTTTCACACATTTAGTGATTTGAACAGTCTATTTTTCTAAAGCTGTCTTTTGTATGATCCCCCACCCCCATCTCAACTACTTCTTTCTGCATTTATCAAATCTTTCAATGCAGTAAGAAACATCACCACAATACTTGATAAGTAAACCACTTTCAAACACTGCTTTTTCCTGAATTTTCTACTGACCTGATTGTCCTTGCAAACACCACCATCTAATCTAACATGTCACTGCAAACACTGTGCACAGACTAAAGTATTACTTAAAATCCTGCATTTTTTTGGTCTTTTCCAAAAAAACATAGCCCAGTGCACAATAAAACAGGAATTAATTTTAAGCTACTGTACTTTCCCAAACAGCGTTTTTTATACACGTCCTGATGCAGTACTTTTTTAAGCACACCACAGTGTGAAAATGGCTCTGCAGTTTCAAGAAAGTAGGAACTGATGCACAGGCTCAGAAAGGATAATCTTCCACTTTTTTTTTTTTTAAACGCTTTTATATTCACTTACATCTTAATTCTCACAAGGCAGAAAAAACTAAGATATTGTTTGTCCTCTAAAACAAAGACTGAAAGATCCTCATCTGGCACCTCACAGCTACAGAAGAGACCAGATAGAGCTAGTCTGACCTAGTGACAAAACTAGAATTTGGGTCATCTGACCAAAAATTACACGTTCAAAAGCCATTAACAAAATTTGCTACAACTCAACTGTGAAAAGAAGTTAACTGAGGGGTTCCCCCCAAAAAAAAAAACCTACAACAAATAAAATTATGTCTAGGTTGTTGTATCATTATCACTTTGTCATACACATTACTAAACAAAACCATGAAGATCTAGCCAGTTACTCCGTGTAGCAAGCACTGGGAAATTAAAGGAGCACCTTACACAGCACACTGGGACTGTGAGCCCTGATAACAAGTCTTGTCACTCCCCTGCAGGTAAATTACATTTACAGATCAACAACTAACACAAGCTCCTTTCATTTAAGAATTTTAACTCTTGCTTAGCCTGGCCCATCAGCAGGGGAGGATTAAAGTTATCCTGCTTTTCCTGAGGGTCACTCAGGGACTCTTACCCTCAGCAATGAAAACCACCACCACGTTAAAGCGAGCAAGAGCCTAGTCTTCTCCGCAGGGAATACCCCATTGTCTCTTTCTAACCCACAGGGGCTATAACTTACGAAAAGAAACAACAGGCAGTGGGCTTTTGTGGCATTTTTCTCCCCTTAATCGATGAAACAACAGGGCTCTCAACGAGGAGCCAGGCAGGGCTCCCTGCCCTCGCCCTGCCAACAGCCCGCAAGCTGCCGCCCAAGCAGCCCCGAGGTCCCCCCGCCT